AGTGCCGCCATCTGCTGGACGCAGTCTGCGCTTCCACTTCCTCCGGCTCCGTATGACACAGCACACGCTGCGGTGCCGCTGTCTGCGTGGCGCCATCTGCTGGGCCTCTACCGCCATATTACACCCACGTATCAATATTTTCCGCCAGTGTTGCAGTTGTGATTAGAGATCGTCAACCTGTCCGTACGGGACTCCTCTGTGTTTAAAAATGTGGTAGATTTTCGGCCCCATGAAAGCATATTATACTGTGACACCAACTCAGACCAGTTATGGTTCCAATTTTGGAATTGTCCTAACTCCTCCCTCCTCTATGGGGGCCCTGTCCTCAGAACTTCCCAGAGTGATGAGCCCTGCTTATGATGATTCGGCCAGTCAGAAGTGCATTCGTGCTACCATCCGTCCATCTGAGTTACATCCTGGAAAGTAGCAAAAAAAATCCCATAATTTGCCATTTGCACAAGTATGAGTATATTGGAATTCTTATCTTTGCCGACCCCATCTCACTTTCCATAGCTTGGGAGGGTGGGGAGACTCACAGTGCAGGGTCAGCCAACACACAGAGCCCCTGGAGCTGGGGGTTAAGAGCCCAAACATCGAGGCTGAGCCTCAAACCGACGACCTTCCGATCACAGACACACAGGCTTAGTCCGCCGACACCGCTGGCCTGTAAATATTTTAGTTTTAAATATCTGGGGGGGGCGACTCTGTTGCCCCGCACCACCAGGCCTGGTAGTATGACCCCCAAGCCCCTCCCCCTGAGTGTGTTGCTTCCCCCCCCATAGATGTCTGTAGTGTGTCCCTGAGATGGACGGGCATCCTATCCATCTGCCCCCCCCACTCCCAGCCAGAAGCTCCACACAGCCCGATGAAGCTTTCCCTATATCCCATAATTCATTTCATATTTCCATATGTTGAAACTAAATATGGGTCAATTTTAAAATCTTATGAATACACTTGACTAGCTCCCTGCGATGACCTGCCCCTCGTCCATTGTGCCCCCAACTCTGTGCCCCCTGCTGCCTGAGACCAGGAGAAACAGCTAGAAGCTGGATGGATGGAATATCTGTGTAATGTTTTATACGCGACTCCAGTCATAACGTACCACCTTCATCTATGCCCAGCAGACTAGCTCTTGGCAAGTGCTTGTAAATTGGTTAGCAGGTAAAAATGTTCTTTAAGTCACCAGGCAAGGCCGTCATACTCAGATATTCTTCACATGAAGATCCTGCCTTATTAGACACATTGCTGAGGCTTTTAGTCAAGCTGGGAGGTTAAAAAGAACATCAGTAATTATCTACATCGAAGGTCACTATCTTCACTGGTGCAGCGCGGATAATTAGTTGTAAATCACACATGCTTTTGTGGAGACCTGTGTGTGAAATTTTGTGCAGAGCTTTAATCAAACAGGTGTCAGCCTTAGCACAGGCATGAGGGCAAGGAGACCAGAAGCATGATGTGGCCCTTAACTGGGCTCAGAATCATCTCCTCCTGACCATGAGGACCTGCCTACTTCGTCACTGAGGCCGGGCCTCTGAGCAGATGGTCTCACACGTGCGTTACAGATCGGTGGGGGCAGAGTGAGGTGCTGAGAGTCGGCATGTCATCGGGGCCTCTTCCGTTTCTGGTCATCTGCAAGCCACGTGTTTAGCCTGATTTATGACATTCTCTCTCGGCAAAGTGCAGCACGATGACATCAGAGCACTCAGAACAAGCAGGAAGCCGGACGTGGAGTAAGCAAGTCCACTGAGTAAGTAAACTGATTAATTTAATCAATAAAAATAAATCACAGCACTTTCATTATGTCATAACACGTCAAAGTAACACAATCCTACATATGTCTATTCAATCGGTACTTTGAGCACAACGTTTTTTTCTTTTTAAAATCATTATTCCAAAATATTTATTTCATACAGAGGAAGGATATATTTCCTGGTTCAGAGCACATCACCATACCATAATATACTGAATAAAAGCCAGAAATAAATGACCTTTTATTCACATTAAACACTATTCTACTGTTAAGTATTACTTGGTATATTTATAATATTACAGAGGGATGTAAAGAGTATTTTAATAATAGGGACTATGCTTGGGATTTAAATAATATGGCTGATATATTTTTATAATTACCCATTTAAAAAATTATATACAGATATTTTTTACAACAAAATAAAAATTTCAGCATACATAATTTATCTGTATATTTAAATTTCTGCTGACAATAATAATTTAATTGAATTTTTGAGATTATAGTCTTTATTTTTCAGCCAAGTGTCTTCACAAAACACAGTTAAACCATAAAAAAAATAAATACAACAAAATAAATGTCAGTAAATACCATCTTCAGTTCTTGGACTGAAAGAGAACTAATTAACGCTTATTTAGTTGAATCTGCTGGTACAGTACTTCTGCACTGCTAATCACCATGCGAGGTTCCACAAGCTACATTAAGGACGCAGTTACTAATGTAGAACCAGTGTTGGTTGTAGCCGATTGGCAGTGGAAACATCCACTTATCTGTCAGCTGTGTTTGCCACCTTAGCACTGTAGTGCCACCTTGTCACCTCCAGGTGGTGCCATATTGTCATAAAGCAGTGCTTCTTAAACTGGTCCTCTGGGACCCACATACGGTCCACGTTTTAAAAAAAATTTGGACTGACTGACCGGTAGCTGGAAGGGAGCTAAAATGTGGACTGTCTGTCTGGCCAGGACCTGGGGGGGAGCAAAAATGTGGACTGTCTGGCAGGGAGCTGGGAGGGAATGATAATGTGGACTGTCTGGCAGGGAGCTGGGAGGAAGCAAAAATGTGGACTGTCTGGCAGGGAGCTGGGAGGTAGCGAAAATGTGGACTGTCTGGAAGGGAGCTGGGAGGTAGCGAAAAAATGTACTGTCTGGCCAGGAACTGGGAGGGAGCAAAAATGTCCGTCTGGGGGTCCCTGAAGACTGGGTAGAGAAACACTGTCATAAAGGGTGCACTGAAAATTTCATGCCATCTGTTAAGATGAAGTTTAGGCAGAGCTGCTGCCTGTTGTTAGTTTCCGCTTTTAAGCGACATACTGAGGTTAAGAATGCTGCTGAGCCATTCAGACTGACATTAAGATCGACCCGCTTCTGACAGAGCACAGCCCCACGCCCTCAGCCCTCCCTTGGGCTCAGAAACAGACGGAAATGGCCACAGGGCATCAACACCTATGCTGAACTTCGGCCAGCTTTCTAATGTGTCTTTCTAAGCCACCTATTTCAGTCCCTGTAGGTTTCAGTACCAGTGATGTCTGGCCTGTTGCACTGTAACTCAGCCTCAAAGGAAAAATCAGCAAACAGCACCATGGACTATACCAAGTGATTTAGGTCCGGTAAACCCTGCATCTCCCTGCTTACAGTGGTAAAACCCTCGACAGCCGGTTCATTAGGCACGCCTGGCTCGTACTGACCAGAAACCACTTTGTGGGTGAAGTTGTGTGATCAGAGTCACCTTTCTGTGCAGCACTGTTGCACTAAGCTGTTATTTCTGCAGTTGTGCTTATTAGCTGCAGACTGCACACTGCGCACACTGCAATGCAGGACAATCCCAGGAAGGCAGTGGTTTCTGGGACCCTAGAACCTCCACATCTGGCACCAACAATCACATTGTGTTCAAAGTCCCTTAGATCAGCCGCGCTTGCTGCTCTAAGGCTGAGCTGAATGGTGACTCAGCCTCTTGACCACGGCCGCATTCCGTACGTATTCAGCTTGCAGCCTGGAGCAGCTGCACCTGTCAAACTGCCCGGTGTGTGTGTCGTGGTTCATTTTGACCCTCCAGGGTTACCGTCCTACTGACTGCATTAATACTAAGTTGCCAAGGTCTGTGAATGTGCCAGGCTGCTTACTGTCCTGCCTGATTGAAATTGACGCACACCAGACTTTTATGTAAAGGGGGAGAGTGACGTGAACCTGAAATGACTGAAGCAGCCACTATCCAGTGCGCCTGGGCACAAGATCAATATGGAAATGCAGTAAAGCCAGTATGTATGCAAGTAAACGCAGTAAACCGAGTCTCCTGTAATAAACCGTTCAAATAAATCAGTTCCCAATCCTGTAGCTTTGAATAACAGCCAGCAGGATTAACCTAGACCTGGATAAGCGCGATCATTTGAACTGGAAAACAGAGGGCCTCAGTAAAGGCATCTCTGTAAACTCACTGCTGTCCACCAGGCACCTGGAGAACCCGGCTGTGATGTCATAGCGGCAGGAACGCTTAGCGTCTGCCGCACCCCCGAACCCTGCACCACCCCGAACCCTGTCAAATGGCACGGCACCAAACTCACTCAGCTGGGCATGATGAAGACAACCAACACTGATCTCCCCCACTAAAGGCAAACTGGTAAGCTCTCACCCGTGTCGCCCTTGTAGATGCCCCCGAATGGATTACCCAGAAACACCCCCATCCCCAATGCCCACCCTCAGCCCCGCCCCGCCCCCCCGGTTCAGTAGTCCTGACTATGGTACCCCCCGTCAAAGGCCCCCTCCGAGCCCGGCTGCTGGTAGGACCCGGTGCTGTCCTGACCGCCCAGGTCACTCCCCGTGTAAGAGCTATAGGGGGCCCCAGCAGCACCTGGTTCTTGGCTGGGGTCGGCGTAGTCTTGGGAGAAGAGGGCGGAGTCAGCTCCTATCTTATATCGCTGGTATGCCAGGAAAGCCTGCCCCGCCTTCAGTGTGGGATGGGGGGGGGCGTGGCCAATGACACGGGTACAGTGGACGGTGGGGCGGGTGAATGAGAGGGGTCGTAGATGGATGTACATTGGATGGGAGTTTTAAGGTTAATTATGAAGGTATGAAGGGGGGGGGGGTAGGTAAGAAGCATAAGAAAACGGGGAGGAAGGAGAGAGAGAGAGAGAAAGAGAATTAGTCTGATTAGCAAAGATAATAAACCCGTTAGTCAGCATCAAAGTTCAGGTGAGAGTGTTTCACCGCAGTTCCACAGAGCAGACATTTTCAGTACAATTACACAGTAAGTCAGCACGTCCGGTTTTCAAAGTTTTTAATTAATACACATGTTAAATTCATTAAAACAATCTAGAGAAACAAGCAAAATGAAGCCTGACGCAAACAGAGGGTATTTCAGATACTGCTGGAGTGAAAACAGTACTGTCTGCACTACGGGGGGGGCTACAGTCTGTCTGACCGTCACCAGGAAGAAGCACTGAGGTTCAGCTACTCATAGGAATGACGGGCCGGCAAGTGTATGGGACTCGGCACAGGCTGAGGGCAGAACGTCACGGCGCAAGTTAAAACGCGCTATTCAGACGGCTGCTGTTATCGCTGCTATCAATGGCCACAGAGCAGCCAATCGCTGTCTCCACACAGACTCTGCTCCTGGATGCTCACTGACCCTCACAGACGCGAAGCTTCACCCTGACGACCGGCACGTGATTAACCAGCTGGTAGATCACGCAGTCAGACACCTTCAAAGGAAGGCACTAAATCTGTCAGCAGATGCAAAATAATGCGATAGACATTTAAAAATAAAGTGTATAATAATGAAAAATCTCAAACAGCTTGACACAGATGTGAGTGAATGGTGTGCCCTGCGATGGGCTGGCCCCCCATCCTTGGTTGTTCCCCGCCTCGTGCCCGTAGCTTCCAAGATAGGTTCTGGACCCTCCGCGGCCCAGAAGGATGAACGGTTTGGAAAATGGATGGATGGAGGTTGACACAGACAGACATGAATTATAAAACCTCTTCCATGATCAACGAGATGGACTGACTGTAATCATATTTTCCTACAGCAAAAAGGGTAAATCACTTAAGCGTGATCTAGCATCCTAACAATGGGCACTGACAAATCCCAGAGAAGTGGCTCTGATGGTTTTGTGTAACACAAACCAAAGAGAGGCAGGGGTGTAAGGTAATGCATCCCGAAATCTAGGGGTGGATGAGAGAGGATTAGTGTCAGACTAGTGGGGGCGCGGGCTGGGGGGTAAACTGTCTGCTGTACTCTTCCTCAAAAGACACTCTCTTTAGTCTCTCCAAGGACAGCATGCCCAGAGCTCCCTATAAAACAGGAAGCCACACAGGTCAGTGGAGCGCCCCTTGTTGTACAGGCCAGCCCAGTGCAAACTCAGCATCTGTGCATAAGTGAAACACTAAGGATAGAGGTCTGTGTATTCCTGTCAAAAAAACTCATGAAAGGGCAAGTCAGATAGATACGGTGCTGCTTAAGGACGAGATGGTGAACAATACAGACCCAGGTGAAGATGGAGAAGAAGGAGAAAGTGATGGCGGCCCGAGCGGCATCGGCGCCCTCCTGCAGCGGGTTGTCCTGGCGCTTGGCGGCCTGCCACTGGTTGGTCAGGAAGCAGAAACCGACGAACCACATGAAGGACCAGAAGGCTGAGGTGGAAGTGGAGAGATGGAGATAGATCAAGGAGAATCAAATGGACGTTTCTCTTCTTCTGAAAAACCCCTCAGAATAGTCACTGTTCTTATTTTCAGTTATGGTAGCACATGTAACCCTAATACTAAAACTAATCCTATGCCAAACACTAATCCTAAACCTAACATCCTTCATCTGATCTGTGAATTAGTTTCCTGCACGTGGCCCCCAGCCTCACCGGACACGCCAATGTCGGCCAGCACGGCCTTCTTGCGGTCCTTGACACTGCTGATCTGCGGGAAGTATGCATCCAGCACCAGGAAGGCGGCGCAGCACAGGAAGGCCAGTGTTCCCATGGTGACGGCGTAGTTGCAGGCATTCTGGTTACGGTTGAAGATGCAGTGCTCCTCGAGCTCCTCGGGCCGGTTCACATAGCCCTCGTTGGCGATGGAGCCGAAGATCACGATGGTGAAAAGCTGCGGGGCACAGACAACATGGCCGTCAGTGCACCTGGGGAGAGGAAGAGGCAGCAGGCAGTGGCTGGCCAATCAGCTCTCCCTGACTGACACTTCATGGCACCAGCAGCCCGTCCTTCATGCGGACCAGCTTCAGCTCTGGCTGCTCCGCGTCGTTCGGCTCGAATGTTGTGTCTCGGTGCCAAGCGTCCCGTCAGTCACTGCCAACACAACCCCCATCCCGCTACAGGCAGACCCATACGCTACCGAGAGGATTAGAGGCACCCAAGTAGGACACAGGGGGAAGGGGGGCGGCGCCTGGCCCAACCTGCAGCATGAGCAGCTGTCTGCTGCATCTGTTACTGTGGGGCCTGCGAGATGGATAGAGCGAGCGAGAGAGTGAGGGAGGGGTAGGGAGCATGCCCACGGCAGAGAGAAACAGACACAGTAGGTCGGAGGGTCCTACCAGGACGTTTCCCTCAGCCAGTCTAGTGCACGTTCATGTTTGCTGAGGATACCGACTGCGGACGAGGAGTTAACGCAGCCCACGGCCGCATGCTGTGTGTTACGCGTGTGCGAGTCACTTCTCACCGACGCCGCGAGGTGTGAGAGTCCCGCCTCGGCAGCCGCACGCCCACGCCTCACGCAGCACCCCAGCGGTGTCCCGGGCCTCCTGCCCGTGAGGGGTGGGAGGCAGGCCAGAGGGGGCTCCGTCCACTGCAGCACTGAACCACTCTGGCTATGGAGACCAAACCACCCTTCCCAGGCTTGTCGTTACCATGGAGACCTCACATGCCTACTGCCCATTTCAGGATCTAGCTGGTCATCTTCAGGCGTTGTTTCCAAATAACCAAACTAATCCCATCCGACCAACTGCTTATATCACCGTCAACCTTGAGCACTCCAGCGATCCTTCGTCCTCCAATGGGAAAGCTGTTCGCACATGATACCTAATCCCATCAAACCGACCACTCTCATTACTTTTCAAAATGCATTTTGGGAGAATACAAGAAACACTGTAAATAGCTCTGTGTACGTGGCTCTTTTGCAAAGTCAAAGAAAATGATCTTCATGTTAGTGTAGAACCATGAAGTCTGTCGAAGTCTTTTGCCGTAGTCATTTCACCCATGTACTTCCAAGTCGATACACCCATGTATTTCTTGACCTCATATTGACCCACTGGAAGCCCGAGGTCGGCGGAGCAGGGTTATATCTCAAATACCGCATCTCGGATTATGCGCAACACTAATGAAATTAGTCAAATCAGTCACACTAAGAAATGCAACCAAATGAACCACAATTCATTTATAACACTGTCAGTTCTGCTACACTGCGTAATATCACATCACAAATCTGTTCTAATATGACTGATATATTAGTACCCAAGTCCAGTACAACACAGAAATGCATTTGTAGCTCCACGGTTTTCAGTCGGAGAGAAAAGCACTACGGAAAAGACAATGTGATACGGTCTAGCAAGAAACACTATTTGCACGCAAAAGCAGCTGTCCAAGTGAATGATAATGACGGCCACTTCCTGAACGAATCGTTCGTTTGAACAGGTTCTTTTCAGTGAATAGGTCGAACCCGTTTTCAAATCTAAAATGTAAAACATCCACAAATTGCACAGGTCAAAGTCTTAGATTCTAAAAATGTAAAAGACATTTTTTAATTCACTTACATTTGCTTTTCGTAGACTGTCTGCAGCCATGTTACCTTCAGTCCCCCTCCGCATACCGTAACCGGTTGTATTTGTGCTGTGTGCATGCCCGG